CATCTCCCGACGCACACCAGCGTCCCCCCACGCCATCCCAATCAGCTCGGCAAAAGTGTCCCGCAGCTCGTTATGGCGACGAATCACCAGGCCGTACCGCTTGCAGCACAGCGCATGGTCGACGGTGAGGGGCTGGTTGCAGTGCTCGCAGCGTGCAGCGAGGCCAGGGGGGTGACGGCCGTATCGCATGTTGAGGGCATCTCGAAACTCCGCAGCATCAAGACCAGTGTTGTTGTCTGTCGATGGGAGGGTGGTCAGCCAGCCGGACGTCTTGTATTCGGCACTGCGGGAGAGGACGCGATGGCGCCGGCGGTCGATGTGTGGTAAGGCGGCCTCCCTCTTGGTCTTGTGGGCGACGTCCTGCTGCTGCTTGCTCCGGGTGAGGGCGTGGCGGATGGTGGCACGATGGTCGCCAGGGTGGAAGGGAGCCTTGCCTTGGACGGCCTTGTAGACCACCTTGGTGCTCGCGCGGGAAGCGGGGTAGGCGGCGGCGGCACGGTCGAGAGGGTCACGTATGCCGGTGCCGCCAAAGCGGGCAGGCAGCAGCATCGAGTCGACCTCGGATGGCGTCACAGGGCCGCCGAAGAAAGCCGGCAGCAGCTCGTTGGCGATGGCCTCGCGGAGGGGGCTGAGAGTGCACTCGTCGGTGAGCACGACACGAAAGACGTAGTCCCACTTCATCAGCAGAGACCTCGTCATTGCCGCGTGGGCCGTGTGCGGGAAGTTGCGGGCAGCAGACGCAAGCGCGCGCACGCCGTGCACCCACCCCTCGACCTTCTGGCCGAGGAACGCCGCCCTCCCCCCCTCATCGCCCACGTAGCCGCCCAGAAACCTCTTGCCCGTGACGATCTGCACCCTTTCGGGCTCGAAGAGCTCCCTTGCGATCTGCTCGAGCTTGGGTTTGACGACGAGGAAGGACTTGGCGGTCTCTGGGTGATAGGCGTATGAGGGACCGATGCGATGCAGGGCTCGAAACCACACGAGTATGCCGTGAAGTTTGCCGAGCGCCGATGAGTCATCTGCATACCAGCACTGCCGCAGCGAAGCGCCAGATGAAGAGGCCGACGAGGCCGACGAACTCTCTCTGTCCTCCTCACCAACTCCAACACCTTCTACATCAGAACACACACATACACCCGC